AGCCTCCTTTTCTCCAAACTAGACAAGCCCAAAGTCCTCAGCCACTCCTCATAGGATGTGACTTACAGCCCTTTCAGCAGCCTCCTTGCCCTCTGGATGCATTTGAGGACCTTCACATCCCTCTTAAACGGTGGGGCCCAGAACTACACACAGTACTGCAGGTGAGGCTGCACCAGTGCTGAATACAGCTCTTGACCGGCTGGTGATGCTGCGTTTGATGTACGCCAGGATGTGGTTTGCCCTGTTGTCTGCCAGGGCACACCTCTGGCTCATACTGAGACTGCTGCCCACCAGATAGATCCCTTTCCAAAGGGCTGCTCTCCAGCCACTCCTCTCCCGGTTTGTACTTGTGCCTGGCATTACTCCATCATAGGTGCAGAATACGGCATTTGTCCTTGTTCATTTTCATGCCGCTGATGATTGCCCAGTGCTGCAGTCTATCCAGATCCCTCCACAAGGCCTCTCATCCCTCAAGAGAGTCAACAGCACCTCCCAGCTTGGCATCATCAGCCATGAACAGAAAAGGTCAGATCATTTTTCTTACAAATAACAACACTTTTTTTTTCTTAATGAGTTGTTGTTTTTTTTTCTAGAGACTAAATTTTTTTTTTTTTTTTTTAAAAACCATGATAGGGATGCTTTACAGGAACTGTGCAGGAACTAGACCTCATTTTAGCTGCTTGCCAACTCAGCTTTTCTGATCAGTGTGCAATAATTTGTCATTTGTTGTTTTGATAAACCAGTCTACAGTCTATGTATCATAGAATAATAGAACAGTTTGGGTTGGAAGTGACCTTAAACATCATCTAGTTCCAACCCCCCGCCACTGGACCAGGTTGCTCAAAGCCCTATCCAACCTGGCCTTAAACACTTCCAGGGATGGCGCATCCAGAACTTCTCTGGGCAACCCGTTCCAGTGCCTTACCACCCTCAGAGTAAAGAATTTCTTCCTAATATCTAACCTAAATCTACAGTCTTTCAGTTTAAAACCATTACCCCTTGTCCTATCACTACAAGCCCTGATGAAGACTCCCTCCCCGTCTTTCCTGTAGGCCCCCTTTAAGTACTGGAAAGCTGCTATAATAAGCCAGTTTTGCCTTTCTGTAAGCTGCTGTGTTAGGTGAAAGCACAGAAAAAGTTTCAAATGAGATTTCCGTGGTGTTAATGTTTTCTTCTGTCCTTTATGTTGGCTGCAGCCTAAATCACATTTTACCTCCTTAGTCACACATTTATTACTGTAGTAAGGAGGATTTCAAGGCTGTAGTCACCAGGACATCATAGTAGTCCCTCAGCAAGAATGTCTATCTGTTTCATAAAGGTCTTTTTGGAAATAAGGCCAATAGTATATTTGTGCAGGTTTTTTAGCAGCGAGAGCCCACATTTGATAGTTGGTGCTAACCCATGAGGGGTTCACAAGCTATTCATATCCCCTATGATATACTAATTTCCACAAGAACTGTGAAGAAAGTTGCTGTGTTTTGTTTGTTTAAAATAAACTGGAGTGCTGTCCCACACTAGCCCACTCCATTTCATCCTTAGCTAGCTGAGGCAAGGAAACACCGAACTGAAATTCCTTGGCGGAGGAAGGGTAGTAATACAATCCTAGAGAAGTGATGAGTCTTTTTGTCTTCTGCTGGTATTTCTATTACTGGTACTTTTAAGGCCTCAAACGAGATGCAATCTTGATCTGTGCTCCGTGCACATAGTGAGACACTAAGTGTTCTCCCCTGAATTCCAGCAGAGAAACATAATGAAAGAAATTTGAAAAAAGAATTAGCCAACATCAGCAGCTGAGCTGCTACAGGTCAAATCTTACAGCTGTGAGGCCTTCCAGTGAAACAAAGGAGGATCAAGATGAGGTCCTGGATTCTCTGGCTGGATCTATTTAGAAGAGGGTAGCTTGTGTGGCATGGGAATAAATTATGAAATAGGCAGCAGAGGGAAGGGTAGGTGGATCTTCCCA